TTTGCTTGATTCCTCCATTTCTGATTGTGATTAATTCCCATTTCCAAAGCATCATAGTCTGAGAGAATAGTTGATATGATTTCTAACTTTATTATTTTATAGAGAAGTGTTTATGATTAAACATCATCTGCCTCAGAAAATATTCTGTGTACACTGGAAAAATATACATACTCAACTATTTGGTGATTGAGGGCCTATATATGTCTCATATGCCCATTTCTTTCATTTCTTCCTTCAATGCAATTGTTTCCTTATAAACAGTTTTCAAAAGTCTTTTGCACTCCTACATTCATTAGGGTGCTATCCACAATAGGCAATATCTGGAAACAACACAAGTGCCGAAAAATAGGTAAGATATATATATAGCTGGAGCAATAGCACAGTAGTAGGGCGTTTGCCTTGCACGTGGCTGACCTGGCCGACCCAAGCTCGATTCCTCCGCCCCTCTCAGAGAGCCCGGCAAGCTACCGAGAGTATCTCGCCCGCACGACAGAGCCTGGCAAGCTACCCATGATGTATTCAATATGCCAAACACAGTAACAACAAAGTCTCCAATGGAGATGTTACTGGGCCCACTCGAGCAAATCAATGAACAACGGGAGGACAGTGATCTATAGATATAGATAGATAGATAGATAGATAGATAGATAGATATAATGAAATACTATTCCACTGTAAGAAAATATAAAATGTTGTAATTTTGCTATAATATGAATAGAACTAGAGGGTCTGAAGCAAAATGAAATAAAGTCAAAGAAAACGAAAAGCATCAGATCATATCATTAATTTGTGAAATATAAAGAAGCAATGCATCCTAATAGACAAAGTTCAATGAAACTAAATCCTCGTTTGCCCCTTGACTCTGACCAGAACTGGGTTTACCAAGCCAGGGAAGAAAATAATGTTGGGAGGGAATAAGGGAAAGGGAGGAGTAAGAGAAAGGACCTAAGGACAGTGGCAGAAAAACGAATCAAACAGTTCTCAAATTCATATGGACAATAACCCCCACACCATGCCCTCAAATAGTCAAAGCAATCCTTGTGAAAAAGATGGGAAATATTTATGACTTAAGGATACAATGTTACCATACCACACCTATCACCAAAATACCAATATTTCTCACATCTATCTAATAGGGGATATTTTAAATAGCAAACTATTTGGAAAGCAGGCAACTATTTACTATACATCTAAAGCTCCCTGCCAGCTTTGTTTTTTTAATTATTTTTAAATTGAATCACCATTGCACAGCTTTCATGATTGAGTTTCAGTCATACAATGATCAAACACCCATCCCTCCACCAGTGTACATTTTTCACAACCAATATCGTGAGTATCCCTCCCACCACCCCACCCCACCCCCTGCCCTACCTCTATGGCAGAAAATTTCTTTCTTATTCTCTCTCTCTACTTTTGAGTATTATGGTTTGCAATACAGATACTGAGAGTCCATCATGGTTGGTCCTTATCTACTTTCAGCACACATCTCCCAATCCAAGTGATCCCTTCAATCATCATTGTCTTAGTGATCTCTTCTCTACCCAAGCTGTCTTCTCCCTCAGATCATAAGGCAGGCTTACAATTGTGGGACAATATTTCTGGCCCTTGTATCTACTGTACTTGGGTGTTAGTTGCATGTTATTTTATTCTATATTCCACAAATGAGTGCAGTCATTCTATGTCTGTCCCTCTCTTTCTGACTCATTTTATTTAGCATGATACTCTCCATGTCCATCCACTTATATGCAATTTTCATGATTTCATCTCTTCTAACAGCTGCATAGTATTCCATTCTGTAGATGTACCAAAGGTTCCAATTCTGGCTATTGTGAACAGTGCTGCAATGAATATATAGGTGCAGATGTCATTTCTACAGTGCTTTTTTGCACCCTGAAGATATATTCCCAGAAGTGGTATTGCTAGGTCATATGGAAGCGAATTTCTAATTTTTGGGGGAATGCCCATATTGTTTTCCAGAAAGACTGAACCAGTTGGCATTCCTATCAACAATGAAAGATAGTCCCTTTCTCCCCACATCAATGCCAGCACGGGTTGTTCTTGTTCCTTTTGAAGTGTACCAGTCTGTCCTGCCAGCTTTCTAACCCTAGTGATCCCTTTTCAGAGATGCTTCAAAACTAGATTACAAAGAAACCTACCCAGAGAGATTTCTAATAGCTTTTTAAAGATTTCTTCAGTTCTGACTCTCTCTGATAGTCAAATACCAGTGGAGTATGAGAAATGAAGAATTATACAGAGCATGATTAGCAAGCTTAGAATGAAGTCCATGTAGGGCTATTTCATACAGGGTCTTCTCTACCACCACTCTCTTAAAGGGTACTTTACAATTTCACTCTCAGAAATTTGTCACCTTAATCTGAATTCATAGTCTGAAAGGAAAGGTCAGTGAGGGAGGGCATGAATTACCTGGGAAGAAGATATCACTCTACTTGCTCTATAGGTCAAAGTTAACTATTTCCTTGAGGTGAAAACCAAGTATCTTCATAACAGTTATATAACTGGGGCTCAAACATTATTACAGTGTATGGGAAACTTGACTTGTTGCCACTAACCCAGGTTTGATCCCTGTCATCCCTATGTTCCCCTGAGCCCGGCTAGGAGTGATTCCTGAGTACAGAGTCAGGAGTAAGTCCCGAGCATCGCCAGGTATGACCCCCAAACAAAAAAAAAGTGATTTAATACATTAATAACTCAGCAGTAACTATCTAAACTAACTAGAACTATATACTGGGGATGTTTTGGCTATAATTACCTAATCATGTCTCATGTGAATTATCAAAAAAGGCAAGTGAATTTGCATTCCCTGGGTTTACATGACTTAGGGCAGTTCAGGGTATCTGGGAGAAAACACTTTTATTAAGGATAGATAAGAGTGAATTACAAAGCAATCCATAATGAATTCTCAAAGGTCCATTAATAATATATCTTTTAAAGATTATAACCAATCTTTTGAAGTGCGTGGGATTAAACCCAGGGCCTCACACATGCAAGACAAGTACTCTACTGCTGAGCCATTTCTGTGGCTCAGGATAACAATCAATCTTAATGGTAAGATACTTTTCCATTGATACATTCTATTACCTTTGCAAACACAGGCTTTTGAAACATGCTTTAAATTTCTCTAAGCACCTGAATCCTTGATTTTACACAGAACTAACATCTGAGGTCTTTCCAAGGTTACATATGTATATATCTCTTTGCCCCCGCCAACTTTGAGGCTAACACTCACCACCTTACCAACTGAAAAAGAAAGTCTTAAGAGCCAGGCAGGGCACTTATCTTGCAGTCAGCCAATCCAAGTTTGATTCCTGGATGTGGAGTAAGGAAAAACCCCTGAGCATCGCCAAGTTTGACTCAAAAAAATAAAGACTTGGGGTAGTTAAGGGGAATAAAAGTTGAAACAGATTTTCCTACAAACCTGATATACAATAAATGCCTGAAGACACACTGCATCCAAGTCTTTCCAAATGTCCTGTAATAATTCTGAAACATTACATTACTTTTCCCATTTAGGAACCTAATTTCAGGTTCTTGTTTTCTCTGATGCAGTAAGATTTAGATAGCTCCCATCACTTAGAATCTGCATGAAGCTTCCTGTTTGTCTAAAAGGGAAGATAATAATGCTTTCAGTGACCTGTAGACCTGATTCAGTTAAAGTCAACCTCTGGTCGCAGAGTTTCTGGGTTTAATGGCTGAGGAGGCAGAAGTCTCCACCTTCTAATACTCTGAGAGTCTATAAAATAAGAACAAAAGTGGGTAGAGCATATCATGAGAGGGCAGAATACAGCCTGCATATGTGGTATTTCTGCTTCTCTTATCCTGGCCTGATTCATTCAACATGATCAATATCCTCAAGTCATCAAGCTTTTAAGACCAGGAAAAACTACTGGGCTAGATTTTTTCCAAAAATAGATTGCATATTTCTTTATATTTCATAAATCACTATTTTCCTCATCTCTTCAACTAGATGGATGGTTAAAACTAAAAGCTATGAGAATTTCTACTTTCCTACCACAAGATCCAAGACAAAAGAGCGCATAATTATGGAGAGGGTTCTAATCCAGCTTCTCTGTTTTTTAGGGAAGAAGATGAGAAAAGGATGTACCCACCAACCATATATATATATATGTATATATATATATATATATATACACACACACATATACACACACACATACACACACATCACTGTATCACTGTCATTCTGTTGTTCATCGATTTCCTTGAGCAGGCACCAGTAATGTCTCCATTCATCCTAGCCCTGAGATTTTAGCAAGTGCTACCTTGGAGGCTCTTTCAGGGTCAGGGGAATGAGACCCATCATTGTTACTGAGTCTTGGCATATTGAATATGCCACAGGGAGATTGCCAGGCTCTGATGACTGACTGACTGACTGAGACAGCATATTTCTCTTCAGAACACTTCTGTGTGAGATGACACAACTTCTTCATCTTACACAGAGGTGTTCTGAGGAAAAATATGCTGTCTCAGTCAGGTGCTATGTGAAATCAAACTACCCCAAAGTGGTAAAACCATAGAAAAGCTGGAAGGGGCTCCCTCCACTAATAAATATCATTTAGGTATAAGGAAATAATACAAATCTTGCTAAATTTGGGGGTACTGAACTTTAAATAGGGAGAAGTTTTCATAATCTTCACGTGTACAGAAGGGTCCATAATCCTCACATTTTCTAAAAAGGCTTCTCCAAATCACACAAAGACATCAAAAAACAAATCAAACACCTGGAAATTAAACAACTCAATGTTGAACAATGAGTGGATCAGGAAGGAAGACAAAGATGAAATCAGAAGATACCTGGAAACAAACGAGAATGAAGACACGAGCTACCAGAACCTATGGGACGTAGCTAAAGCCGTGCTAAGAGGAAAATTTATAGCATTGCAAGCATTCCTAAGGAAAGAAGAAAGGGCGTACATAGATAACCTAACCACACAGCTCAAGATCTTAGAAAAAAACCAAGAGTGCTCGCTTCGCAGCACATATACTAAAATTGGAACAATACAGAGAAGATTAGCATGGCCCCTGCACAAGCATGACACACAAATTTATGATGCATTCTATATTTTTAGTACTATGTAGCTGTTAGAAAAGATGAAGTCATGAAATTTATGGAAAGTATCATGCTAAGCGAAATGACTCAGAAAGAGAGGGATAGACATAGAAAGATTGCATTGATCTGGGGAACATAAATCAACAAAATAGGAGACTAACATCCAAGAGTGGCCGGGATTAGTACCAGGAGGTTTGCTCCATGGCTTGGAGGCCAACCACACATGCTAGGGAAAAAGGCAGCTCAGATAGAGAAGGGAGCACCAAATAAATGTTGTTGGGAGGATCCTCCCAGTATGGGAAAAGCATGCTGAAAGTGGACCATAGACCAAATATGATTGCCACTCAATGCCTCTTTTGCAAACTATAACACCCGAGAGGAGAGAGAGAACAAAAAGGAATGCCCTGCCACAGATGCAGGGTGGGTTGGGGGGGTGGGGGGTGGGAGGGATACTGGGATCCGTGGTGGTGGGAAATGGGCACTGGTGGATGGGTATTGGATCATTGTATAATTGAAACCCAAGCACAAAAATTTGTAAGTCCACAACTGTACTTCATGGTGTCTCACTAATAAAAATTTTTAAAAAAAGACCAAGAAAAGGAACCCAAAATTGGCCGAAGGAAAGAAATAACTAAAAAGGCTTTTCTCTCTCAGGTAGGTAAGCCCTTACAATGTCCACTTCATTTTCCACTAAATGAAAAATACAGACCTTTTCATTTTGGTGAATTTTAAGGATTCTACTTCCTTAACAATTTGCTTGTTTATGAATCCATACAGACTTTAAATTTGATTTGACATAAACAAAATGGCTACCACATAGGAATTAAAAGACACAAGTTGCAGAACTTTATTGTTAAAGTTATGTTTGTATAGCTTTAAAATGAAAGTCATATAATGAACATATTGATGGTGATCCTGGAGAGAAGTGTGAGGGGGATAAGATTGGGGAGTAATATTTTTCAGTGTCATTTCACTTATTATAGCAAGTTCTAATAATGAAAAACCACAAATCAAATTTGTACACACTACATTCTTCGCACAGCATCTATAACTGAGAACAGATGGGAAAAGTCCTCTTAAGATAAGATCATCTTCAGTGGATCTTAAGGCATTCAACACTACCTAAATTTATAAATCAACAATACTGGCCATATTCCCTCTCTTGGGAATGGGTAAGAAGAAAGACACCTCTTATTACTACCCAAATTAGCACAACTTGTCTAAAAACTTCCAAAATATGCAAAAATATACAGTTCTAGGCCCCTAGACACATTGAGTAATGGTAGAGATTGGGCAGAGCAGCAGCTGAGAGCTCTATCTACAGCATTTCCTTGCTGTTCTTTCTGATATATCCCCACTTCTGCCCATCCCTGAGAACAGGAACAAATTCAAACACTGATTCTCTGGAAAAAATCCCTCAGGCACAGATTACACAATACAGTCATGCATACTGACCATGCCCCAATGAGCAGTGCACATAAAAATTAAAATTAGAGTGTTAGGTAATGCTCCAAATATGCATTCTAGGGCCAAACTCTAGATTGCCTCAGAAAGACAGAAAGAAATTCTTACCCAAAGCCTATTATATAAAAATGGTATATATAAAAATGGTGGGAAGGTACACATCCAGAGGAGCTCAAGATTTATTACTGGCTCTGTCCTCAGATCACACTCCTAGTGGTGCTCAGGAAACCATATGCTGGGGATCAAAATGGGGTTAGTTGTATGCAATACAAGTGCCTTATTCCCAGTACTATCTCTCTGGCACAAAACTTCACAAGTTTAATGAAGGATAAAGTCAGGGAATAAAGTAAGCATTAATAACACAAAGTAAATTACCATAACATGAATCCTTTGGAGCAGAATAGGCATATAGAAGATGGTATGTAACTAATACTACCCAGGAATGTTAACAAAAGCATTCCTAGTGAGGAAACATGAATGGAAGAAGTAAGAGGCACTTAACACTTCAAGCTGAAAGAAAAAGGTTATGCTAGAGTTGATACATAGAAGTAGCATGGTTGGGCCACATAAAGAACTCAACAGACTGAGTGCATGCTTTGTAAGTAGAAGATCTGAGTTTGATCACTGAACTATATGGCTCTAAGTACCTCCAGGAGCAACCCCAAACACAGAGATGGAAATAGCTTTTGAGTACTGCCAGGTGTGCCCCCCCCCAAAAAAAAACAAACGAAACAAAGAAACAAAAATAGTATGGCTAGCTTTCTCTTCAAACCCATGTTCTCCTCCTATCTCATTTGCTTGTCTCTATGTTTCTTTGCTTACCTATTTCCACACTGGAGAAGGAGATGATCTGTCTAAAAACACGCAATTTTCTCTTTCCCTGCACATCTTTCTAAATAAGTATCAATAAAAACTATCTTGATTTACCAAGAAAAATGGTATGGTTTACTTTAAGAACCTTGGCCCTATGAAGTTACAGCATAGTAGACATGTTGGATCAAGTAGAAGCTGAACTAGGATGGAGCTTTCCCTATCAAAGAACTCTACCTACATATACCATGCTACAAGATTTATATTTTCTCTTTACTTAAGTTTTATAAATACTGATAAATGCTAGAGCAACCTAAATGCCCCTAAAATGTTTATTTTAAATCCAATATTTACTTGTGTTGATAGTGAAGCAGGGATAGAGGGGCCAGAGAAATAATATAGTGGTCAGGGCATTTGCCTTGCAGGCAGCCAACCCAGTTCGATCCCTTGACATTCCATATGGTCTCCTGAGCACTGCCTGGAGTGATTCCTGAGCACAAATCCAGGAATAACCCCCGAAAATTGCTAGGTGTGGACCAAAAAGCAAAAATAAATAGAAATAAATAAATAAACAAGGATAGAGAAGTAATATTTTTTACATCTACTATGACTGCACCAAAGAAAGGTAAGATATGTGACAAGTAGCACTGTAACACTGTCCCACTGTTCTCCTGTTGTTCATCGATTCACTCAAGTGGGCCCAGTAACATTGTGAGATTTGTTACTGTGTTTGGCATATCGAATACATCACAGGCAGCTTGCCAAGGGCTCTGCTGTGCGGGCCAGATACTCTCAGCAGCTTGCCGGACTCTCTGAGAGGAGCAGAGTAATTGAACTCGAGTCGGCCAGGTCAGCCGCATGCAAGGCAAATGCCCTACCTGCTATGCTATTGCTCGAGCCCATGTGACAAGTAGGCACATAAATATTAATTCCTTTGTGAGTGTATAGAAAATGTTCCTATTTACAAAATTGCATCACATGCCATGCTGGGTTTCATAAAAGGGAGTAATATAAAAATAACTACTCATTCATTTAACTTTCCATTTCCAGAATTTTTTCTCTCCACATCTCTACATACTTTCCATCACCACCAACCTTTCAATTCTACCACCTTTAACAGACATCCTTTACAAGTCATGTCAGAATGAAAAGACTGCCATCAATGAGGATTCTTCCAGTAGCTAATTTTTCCTTGGCCCAGCAGTGATTCCAGCTCAATACAGGGATAAAGCATTCCCAGCTATACCCACCTAACTCTTATCAGGTTAAACTATCCTGGATATTTTTTCCTAATAGATAACTACCATTTTTTTTTCTATTGGCATCCCCCAAGAGGATTCATGGCAGATAAAAGTCAAGTTCATGGCTGACTTTTAGGTGGCTGAGATACAAGTAGGATCCTTGATTCACAAGTGTTAGTATGGAGGAAAAAAGAAATGGTTAAAAGAGATGGTGCTGGAGCAAGAGATATAGTACAGTGGATAGGGTACTTATATTGTACATAACGTACCCAGGTTCAATTCTGGGTAGGTTTCAATCTGAGGGGAACCACCCAAGATGGCCCCTGAGCCCACAGGAAGTGATCCCTGGGTGCTCAAGAGCCAGAGTAACCCTGAGCACTTCCACATATGGCCCAAGAAACAAATAAAAGAGCTCTAAGTGTACCCCATCTACACTAAATAGTTTAGGTCCCATCAGGCCCTTATAGAATTCAGAAAAGTCCTCTCTTTTGAGCTATAGGTCTAATAATAAAGCAACATATATTAAACAAAATGCAACATCATTTAAAGGCTGAACATGTGATGGCTGGGAATGTGGAGATCTCCCTCACTAGAAATCTATCCTCTTAACTCTACTCAAATACATATCGCCAAGCACTCTTCATCCAAAGGCAACATAGCCATCCATGACTCAAACAGAGGAAGTGGAGGGGAAGGAGAGCTTAGCAATTTAAGACTCTGCCAAAAGCAATTTCATAGCCTAAGGAGAAAGCTGTGGTAAAGGGCAGTAAGAGGAAGTAAAATCTCATTTGCATTCAGTTTTGGTTTGGTTCTTGCTCTTCCCCTTCCTGCAGACCAAAGGGTCTTCAATTCTTTGTGGACTCACCAAGACCCAAGTTAGCCAGAAACTATGGTCTGCAAGCTAGACTCTAATCTCCTACCCAACACTTTGGTAGTAGTATAGATCCAGTAACTTTGTACAGCAAAACCATTTCCAGGCTAGCTCTTCAAGTCTGTGTTTTACCTTGAAATGTATCTCTTGAACATGCTTGCTCTGTTTTCTGCTTCCTATTTTCACTCTGACTAAAAACGTGTTATCACTTTCTTTCTCTCATGGATTCCTAATAGGTTTCAATAAAAACTATCTTGCTTCACACATACACACAAACCAAAAAATATCCAAACATGAACACCATTGTAAGTACATTACCGAAATAACAATAAAAATGAAAAGAAAACAAAGAAATCAAAAGCAATCAGTCAACACTTTGTCTTTCTAAGTCTGAGTGCCACAGTAAGCTCTGTAGTAACTAGGTCAAATATCACTCAGAAGAACCCACTGAAAAAGAAAGAACTAACGTACAGATTGATAACAATGTGGAGGTAGGGACAGTGAGAGGAGCAGGGGAATTACACTCCCAATGTCACTCTTTAAAGAGTAGAGAGTAACTTTTCCAAACAGCCACTGCTCTATTTTGTCATGCTAAAAATTTAAATGTCTGCACTCAGTCTAAAAGAAAGAA